TACCTACACTCGGTCACGTATTTTCGTGCATTTTGTGTACACTATCACCGCATATATTATACATGGTTGGTTCGTATTATGAACATTTAAACGACTATAATAATATTACACGAGCTATTTCGCATACTCGCGAGCTGGCCTATTGCATGACATAATGGTAATAATAATATTTATATAATATCGTGTTATAGCCGTTGATATAATATTACGGTGATAATTAAATTTTACCAAATATACCCGTGGGCTACGAATGATAAGAAATGTTATAATATTGCAGAAATTAGATTTATTAAACATTGTTTTATTTTTTTTTTTTTTTTTTTTTTTTTTTAACGAATACGGCGTATTGTAAATTGCATTTTTTAACGCGCATCGGTTTAGCGAAAAGTAAAACGCCAAAAAGGCATTCTGCTGATAAATCTGAATCTGACACGTGTGTTTAGGCGGAAAATTGGAAAGGACTCGAAGGGAGCATGCGTTGCTATAATATGACTATGGAGCAATTCAATTTATATCTAAACGCAATGATTTCTAATAAAAAAAAGATTCTGATTGTAGTATTATTATGGGTAGTCTTATTTTCGTACTTGTTGTCAAATTAACACGGTTATCAACAAAAGTTACACAAGCAATTGACAGTTTTCCCCACTTATCGAGAAAACTACAAGGAAAATCAAAAAATGAACTCTTCAACTTAGTAACTAGATTAAAAATGCTACAAGAAAGTTTCTATAAAGTCTTTGATTGGATCAAGATTTCTGGTAGAACATTTATCGATTAAGTAAAAAAATCATAAGTGACATTATGTACAATAAGTTTGTAAATAAACGCCGTAATAAACACTGACCACCACTATCGCTTAACGTTCATACATTTTTTTTTTTTTTTAATTTTTGTAAGTTTCACAGTCAACTGGTGGTTCACGGACTATAGGAAAATCAGAAAAAAAACGTAATATGAAAACTGAATAATTTACGGCGTTATGATTTCATTATTTAAAATTTGTGTGTTTTATGTTTTTTTTTTAGAATGAGTGATTATTGAGAATTTCGACAATAATAAATAATTACCATCTTCCGAGGTATGGTGTGAGTGTGTGACAAATTAGGATCAATATTTCCTAACCGAAAAAGAGTTTTCCAAGAAAATAAAAACACATCTCAATATGTAATAGGTACTTGTTTGCTACATTCAGAATCTTAAATAAAACAACTAAACTAGGTTGCGATATTTTTATGATGTAATATTTTTAAGTGAAAATATTTTATTTCTCGTGTACTTTTCGTTTTGTCGTACAAAATCACTTTTAACGTTTTTTTTTTTTTTTTTATTCGTATTTCTTTTATAAATGGCTATAATAATCATTAGAATATATAAAAATTCATAAAATAAAACGGGAGAATCATATTTTGTTGTGTTTTAAAATACAAAAAAAAAAAAAAAAACTACAAAGTAAAAACTTACTTTTTTTCCCGTCCTTTTTTCGTGTAACCCAAGAGGTAAATAATTTCAGTTCCAGTACCTGGTTCATAAAAGCGTCTCCACAAAAATATATTATTTTCTCGTTTTGCATTTGAGCGTAACGAACGTCTTTGGTTACATATACAATATATTAATATTTTTTTATGTTCTTTGCGTGCAACGATTCCAAAACATATTATTATAAGTAGGTACTCGGTTTCTCTCTCACTCGCTCTCTCTCTCTCTCTCTCTCTCTCTCTCTCTCTCTCGCTGTTGGTCAATGATAAATCGCTACGGCTTTATTAATTGGACATCATTTTCTGTTATACATTTATGTATATACTATACGGGCATTGCACGGGTATAGTGTATCCTTGATTTTTTAAAGTCAAGTACATTTTCTTTCCAATTGTAACCGTTACACCGTACGTTATTCCACAGTACACCTACCGCCGGGTCAGTTATAAAACACGAACGGGTGTACTACCTATATCGTGGCGATATAGTATTTTCAATATTACGCGCATCGCGCATTGCGTGTACCGCATGTTTTCGTAATTTCAGCGTTTCCGCGATAAATAACGCGCCGTTTTACGTAATAACGTAATACACGCGTACATGTCGAAAACCGTATTCTGTAAACCTGCCCGGGCGCCCGCGTTTTTTTCGATTTATTCGGTTGACGCGTAGACAGATACGCCGGACGTCTGCGGACATCTCGCACCGTAGAAAGGGCAACATTTTCGGGAGGGAGTCGACAAGGGATGTCTGACGCGGTTGAACAATACAATCCGGTTTCATCCGCGTTCAGAAAGAAAAAAACCTCACTAACTTTAAGCGAAACCTTATTTCGCAACCACGGGAATAATCGGTTTCGCTCACGACCGAACATCGCCGATCGGTTTACCGCACCTAATGCGTCTGGAGTTCGCTGTTTCCGATCTCGCGATCGTACGTCGTCCTGCGGTCGGGCGCGTTTCCGCGGTTTTCGTTGTGGGTACTCGTATTCGCGTCGAATTTCTTTTCGCGATTTTCGTCCAAGATGCCCGAGAACAACGAGTCCTTGCCACACAAATCGACCGCGATACCGGGGTTCGTTTCGGACATGTGCTCGCAGAGTTTCTGTACGTTCTCCGGGAAACGATGGCGAAGTGCCCCTCAAAAAAAAAAAAAAAAAAAATTATGTCAGGGGATGACATTTTTTTTGTACGGATTCCGTTTAATGTCAATATAAGATGTACCTTCGGGGAGTCTCGACTTTCATTCACCACGCCTCGTTCTTACTATTTCTATGATTTTTGCCTTTAAATATTATGTATCCGCCCTTCCAATTTGCTTCCTGTCATCATGACGTTTACCATATAATTTGTACGTTTATAGGTATTCACGGTGGCATGGTAGTAACAATAGTACTTAATTATAATTTTTCAACAATGCAAATAAATTGCTATTTTCTTTTTACTTGTAATTCCATATAACTACTAAAGTTATTATAATATAACTAAATCGATATTGAATTACTTACTGAAATTTCCTCTCCTCCCCTCCCATCACTTCCGTTTTGTAATTCGAACTTAATTAAAAATTACGAGTAGCCCATTAGAATATTGATGGCTGGCGGCTATTCGCTAATAAAATAAGATTTCCATTTAGCAACTATTGCATTATTATCATTATTAACCGGCACGGTTCTCGTCGACGGTTTTACGTTACAAACATTATTGATTTTCGTTTTGAACGATGGTTTCGTGATTATGTTATTATATTATATTCCGCTGATGGCCACCAACGCTGTTTTAGTTTTTTTTTTTTTTTATATATTAAATACAATACGGTTATAATAATATTTTTTATTAAAGTAGACCGACAATTTGGCTTCGGGGTGATGTATGTGGTCGTGTATACGTGTAAATGTGTTTCACACATCGGTATACACGCATACATATGGGTACCTATATATAGGTATATACGGTCGTTTCGTTCAATTAATGTTACCTATCTATACGTAATACGATTGTAAATTGTCCGACGAATCACGAAAAGTCCATTAAGCCCATTTTTTATATTTTGCTGATCTCTGTTTTGGTGAAATATTGTTTTTTATATCTTCTGATACCGATATGTATATGTGACTATCGTGGAAAAGCAAAATAGCTTAGCTGTAACGCGATACAAAAAAATTAACACCTTATATGCCAACGAAAAACGATAAGATTTATAATGTGCGACAGGGTGTCCCACGGACATTTGTCGAATTTAATAACGTACGTTGTGTTTAAAATTGTTTTTTTTATTCATATATACCATTATATTCATTATATATATATAAACTGCATAACTTATTCGTCTATAACCCATGAAATTTTGTGAAAAAGCTACTTAAAACCTGCTTCGTCGGATTTCAGAACCGCGATGATAAGTGCACCCGCACGGAGGATTAACCAAAAACGACGAACTTCGCTGTCCCCGTACATACCAAATGAACTCTTTAACGAGTTTAACAGGTTTCCGGATGCAGGGAAATAGCGTCCGTGACTTGACGACACCCCCGTAACCTGGCGTTTTCCTATCGGCGCATCCACTATTGCTGGTAAACTCGCCGTTCAGGTTATCATTCTTACAGTAATATGACTGACATTTAGCGGATTTCTGGAAATCCTTACATTTCGGAACATTATTGGTGATGGGATTCTGGTCCTTTTTAGAACACGCTTACGAAAAAAACGAAAACCGACCTCTCTAAAGTACCTTCCCAGTGAAGTTTTTTTTTAGAAAAACTGCTATCTTTAAAAGTTAGAACAAAATTGCTAGTAGAAAAGTTGTCCATAAAAAAAATAATAATCATCATTGTAAAACCATAAGCTTCTTCGCTCCTCTCAGAATCTAAAAAAATAAATAAAAAATTTCAATAAATTATAAATAATTTTTATTAGTTACGGAGCTCCTGAAAAGTACTCATGGTACACAATTTTGGAACCGTTGATTAGAGGTAAAATAGGGGTATTTATGAAGACTTATTCTGTAAATTCAAGTACCAAATATTTCAGTGTAAGAAGTGAACTATATTTTGGGGTCACAATTAAATTCCTACACATAGTTTAAATATAATTTTAACATTTAAAAAATATTAGTATCAAAAAATGGCATGCACAACATGTAACTTATTTAAACAACAAACGTTCTACCCAGAAAAAAAATTATATTGATGTCCCCGATAAATATCAAATAAAAATAATAATAATATAACATAACCTAACATACCAGGCAGTTGGAGATTTTATACCGATTTCGATGAACGAAATCTATCAAAGAACTCGCCATCTCGTCTTGAAATAAAATTATCATCTATAGATCTAAAGGTGCTCAGCCTCTAGGAAATGCAATAAGTACGATTATGCTGTTAAAACTCTTCATATGCAATGTCCGATTTATCCTTAAAATAGTTTACATCAAAGTCAAAATACTTATTTAAATTCACTCGGTACTCACTAAAATATCTTTAAGTTTGAGAGCATTATTAAAAAAGCTGTCCTAGAATAATGGGAACGGGTGAAGACACTGTTATAGGTAAGAAACGTTCTTCAATACATGCAGAATCTAAAAAGTTTGAACAAACAGAACAAAACAAAAATAATGAAAATCCTGAGCTTTAAATTATCGGCCACCTTCTTTTAGCTATTGCAAAGCATGAGCTAGTTAAGAGCCGACGAGAAGCACGAGGCAGAACCCTGGATGCATTCAATCCATCAAAGCGTGGCCCGCCATCAATCGCTTCTCATTTTGTCGCTCCAGATTGCTTATGGTGTGATCGCCGTCAGGTGAGTATCTTTCAGCTAATTAACCACTACTTAGCGTTACTTATAAGCCCAGTAGAAGCCTACCGCACGGTACCGACCGCAGAACAAGTCTAGGGCCAGCACCGAGGTCTCCGTTTGGCACTGAGCTGGGCCAATGGAAGATCATCCCAATCCGGGGACCCCAGGTGTCTCCCGATTCGCCTTTGCAAACACAATCTCAGTTGCCTGAGGTAAGTGGGTCAGCCGAGAACATCATACGGTTCGACTCAGCAGTCGGAACGCGAGAAGATCTCCGACTGACCAGGCGGAAGAAGGAGCTCATAGTCTCGTTATGGTTATATAATATAATATATTGAAAAATCCATAGATAAATGTAAATCATTTGTGCAAATTCTACTCAATGCTTCTTTGTAAACAAAGTCGATACTCGTTAGATATCAAACCCAAATTTACTAAATTATCATTCCTATAATCAACATGGGGGTCGTAATGAGAAGCAAGACTCTTGTTTTTAACCCACTTAGTTAGAACTAAATTATTTCTAGCTAGACGTTTCCTATAAGCATCATTTAAAGAACGTCCGAGATTAGATCTTCTTTTTGACATTTTAAGATTGAGTACTAAAAAAAGACGATCGTACTTCTCACTATGAGTAGGTCACTGTCATAGGCAAAAAGTTAAGAAGATAGGATATAGAGGAAAATTTAATGTATATCTGTATGTAACGATAAATCATTGCTAACGAAAAACGAATTCGAGCGAAATTCGGTTACATGTACAAGTTTTGAAAGGCAGTAATATTTTTGATTTTCGTCAAAATTTGGTATTCAAATTTGTATAAAACAAAAAAAAATATTACATTAAACTTAACTTTTTTTTGTTTACCACTAAACATAACTTATAGTAATGAACCTCCTGTTAAATTATCAAACATTTCTGTTTGATGTAACAATTTTATCCACAGAGTAACTACCTCGATTCTTTAGGAGAAAGACTGCACGCAAGGACGAAGTACTCCCTCGTAACACTGCGATACATTCACAAAAAAAAAACTACTTTGATTCTAAACTGATTCCCGTTAACCCGTTAGCAAGATTATCTGTTTTTAAGTATGAGTAGGAGGAGTAGTAGAGCATCATTTGTACGTCGCAATCGACCATCGCAAAAACAACGGAGATGACAAAATGTCTGCACGAATCGCCCACTTGCATTATCTATAGATATAACTGTGACGACATATTATTTTATGATGATTAAAACACGGTATTGTATAAGTATATAAACGTAAAAAAAAGGCCTTAATATTTTTATTTCAACTAGTACCTATATTTCGTACATTTTCTCGTTTTTTTCGGTTTTTTGCATTTATTCAGAAAACTCCTAAAAAAATTTAAAAAATTACCACTTTAAAAAACCTCCCCAGTCGAATTTCCACTCAGAAAATGTGTTGCACTTCAAAATTGGAGCGAGATTTCTGGTAGAAAAGTTTCGCACAGATAAAAAAAAATAAACATCTTTGTAAATCTATAAGCTTCATTGCTCCACGCAGAATCTAAAAATATCGTAGCATAGGTTGATGAAAAAAAAAATAAAAAGACCACAAATAACTAATAAGTGTTTAACCGCTTTCAATCGGCTGATTAAATTATCGGATCATTAATCGATGATTAGAAGGATAACCGATATTGTACAACTACCCAACATTTTTAATCATTGATTATAATTTAAGCACGAACTTAACAACGGGGCACTGCATTCGACATATTATTTTGCCTAAAATCATGCTTTACAGGAGTAATCTCCTGCCTCGTAGAATGGTTCAATTTCAATTTTTCGTTTTGTTGGAAACACGAAGATTTCTGACAGAGTTATTATTTTGGGTAGCGCAAGTACTCTAGAATTCCCTGTTTCGTCAAGATTATGAATACTAAAGTAACAATGAGACATATTATATCCTGCCAGATTATTTCAATAACTACAAAACACGTTAACGGCGTTTTTTTTTTCTTGATACACAAATAAAATTTTTGAAGAAATCGTGGTACGAAATTAAAAAATCCAATCTATCAGAAGAACGTCTACGTGTTATAGAAACCGCAGTATGAATTATTTGACATTCGTTCTGTCTTGGTTAATACCAACTCATGTTCCCCCTTCCCGCCAATAAACAAAATGGTCGATAATATTAATGAAAATACACTACACAGCGTATATTTTGTTTAAACAAATATTTTCTAAAAAATAAAAAAAGCAACATAATCAACGAAATGGAAACTAAATGTACTGCGATAAGCCCCATACTATAATGATGTGCATTCGTCTGTGATTTTTTTTGTCCCGATTATTACTTAATCTATCTGACAGTATAGACGATCATTATGAAATGTATAAGCTCACTCGACTGATTGGCAGCGGATATATTTGGAGAAGACGATGCATATTGTAATGTTGACAAAAACCAAAACGATGAAGTCGAAGAAATACAAGATAATAATGACAATAGTTCCTAACTGTAATTTTAGATTCTGAATAAAGCCACTTATCTATCAGCAGTTTCGCTCCGTTTTACAATAAAAGTACTTATTTCAGTAGGAAATCTGACTGGGGAAGTACTTTAAGGAGGTAATTTTTTTATTTTCCTAGAAATTTTCCGAACAAATGGGAAAAACCAGAAAAAAACGGGAAAATGTACAAAATATATTTGTAAAATATTACGGTCTTTTTTTTCTGTAGACAATTTTTCAACCAGTAATTTTTCCTTGGTTTACAATGATACCACTTTTTCCAAAAAGAAATCTGACTAGAGTGGTATTTTAAGAAGGTCATCTTATCGATTTTCTCATGAGCTTTCTCACCTAATGGGAAAAAACACGTGAAAACCAGAAAAATAGGTACAATATTAAAAAAATATTATTAAAGAAAATATATAATGCATATGACATTATTTTTCCATAATATGACAAATATATTGTTGACAAAGTAACACTTTCAACTGAACTCTACTTAGAATCGTTTTTTAGTTAGTAATAGTTTATCGTTTCTTAAGGATATACATTAAATTTCCCCTCTACTACCTTTCCAATTTCTCACCTATAACAGTCGCTGCATCTGTCCCCGTTATCCAAGAACATCTTTTTTTTAACAGTGGAAATAAATTGTTCTTACCTTATACTCGTAATTCTGTATAAGCACTGAAGTTGTTATAATATAACGAAATAGACAATTTACTACTTACCGATTTTCCCCTTCCCCTCCCATTTTGTAGCTCGAACTTAATTACATAATACGAGTAGGCTACTCGGAGTAGCTCACTAGAACATTGATGGTTGGCGGCTATTGGCTAATAAAATAAGATTTTCGTTTAGCGACTATAATATTTTATTGTATTATCATTATTGACCGCGCTGGTCGTCGTCGGTTTTACGATATAAAAATGATTGATTTTCGTTTTAAACGATGGGTTCGTGATTATGTTATTATGTTATTATACTATATTCTTTTGATGACCAAAGGAGTTTTATTATTTATTTTTTATTTTTTTTATATTAAATATAATACTTTTTGATATTCAAATATTTTATTAAAGTAGATTGACAATTTGGCTTCGGGGTGATGTATGCGATCGTGCAAACGTGCAAATATGTTTCACACATCGATAGATATAAATACATAGGTCGTTTGTTTAATTTTTATTACCTATACGTATTACGGTTGTAAATTATCCGACGACTCACGAAAAGTCCATTAAGTCCATTATTTTTTTGTTTTTTTGCTAATCTCTGTTTTGGTAAAAAATTGTTTTTATATCTTCTGGTAACTGTATGTATATGCGAATATCGTGTAACAGCGAAATAGCTTAGTTGTTACACGATACTCAAAATTTAATACCTTTTATATGAACAAAGAATGACATGATTTCTAATGCGTGACCTACACAGGGTGTCCCACGGATATTTATCAAATTCAATAACTTTTGTTCTGTTCGAAATTGTTTTTGTTTATATCTATATAATACATATGTAATTACTATAGCCTTGCTCTATGGTTATTAAATATTAGGTTTAATTTTTTTTTTTTTATTCCAGATGTATAACTATTTTCAAATTATGAAAATAATGTTAGTGTTAGAAACGTTAACTAATGATAAATGTCGTTAATTTTCTGCAATTTTTTTTCACTATTCGTAAATAGCCACATAATAAGAAACGTACCTAATATTATGTCCATGTGCACTGTGCAGGTTAGGTGCATAACACTTACTATAGGGTATACTCGTATTATGTGATATCATATATTTTATTAATGTTTAATGATGACCAAATCTTGGAAATATAATGAAAAAATTATTCATAGTACGTTTTATAATACATCAATCAGTATCATACTATCATATAATGGCATTAAAGAGCGTTAAAAATATTAATATTTTAACATTTCTATAAAAATTAACGTCGTTAAAAAATTGTAAAAGTTTTAAACATCGACATATTGTATGTAAAATGAATAACGTATAAAATGATTAAACTGATTTAAAAACAAAGAACACATGATTTTTAATTAAATCAAAAATATGTTTATAATCACATTAGACTTTTTAACGATTTTTTTAAAAAAAAAACAACTAAAATGTTTAACAGAACAAAAGTTATTCCATTAATCAGATCTCCATGATACACCCTGTATATGATATTCCATCATCACGATTAAATTATAACTTTCATGAATAATGGGTAATGTGAAAATAGGTGGATACTTAGCATTGACAATTTCCAAAATATAAAATTATAATTTATATAGGTAGTTTGCAACTCGCTAATGTAGGTAAACTTATGCGAGAATACTATTAACTTTGTAGCTTACAGGCTGTAGTAATTATAATTATTTTAAGGTTTACGACGATAATAAACGCAACGTGACGTAAATTAAATAAAATTACATTAATTTATACGATTATTAACACGAACGTTAGTTACTTATATTTTTTAACACTTTTTTTTTTTCTTTGTTTTAATCGTTATTATAATTGAATGTCAAAAATAAAATTTAATTATTTGATAGGTACTTGTTACACTACTGCATCGTTTTAAATTCGCTTTGTTTTTTAAATACTACTCGCAATACACCTACAAGGACGGTATTGAAACGCTGTCTATTCGTTAAATTACGTTTATATACATTGAAAGATATTATTGCGGGTATACGTTGCGCGAGTATAAACGGGTTTTCGTAAGGCGTGATTTAGACACTGTGTGGAGTCGAAACGCCAAAGGGTAACGTATATAGTATATACGTATATAACTTATTCGTCTATAATCCAAAAAATTAAAAAAATGATTGTGTGCCGACGCAAAGGGTC